ACTAAATTATTTGCGATAATCTTGAAAAAAAAAACTGCACCACTCGCTTTGATGGGGCCTTATCCTTGCTGGGTGAGGTGCATGGTCCGTAGCTGCAGTAACATGTCACTTTTTCCCCTCGAAGGGTTCACGAGAACGAGGTCTCGCGGTACTGATACCTGGGTCCCTTCTCTATATTCCGCTCGCGCTGCTGTAGGCCAGCCGACGCTTACCATAGCCAAACTCTTTACTTGTCTGCGCCCTCTCAGTTCTGGTTTTCTCTACCGCTGAATACGTGTTCCGCTGTGGGGTCTCGGCATCTACACAAGTGCACCACCTTGAGGATAGCGCGGGCAGAGTATAGAGACTATAGAGACGGCAGCCGTGTGTCACTACCTTCCGGCTCCGTTTCCGTGCACTTTGGAGCGGAAAAAGTGGCACGCTATTGCAGCTGTGGGCACACTGAATTGTCCACTTTGTAACCGATTGCGTTTGTTATTACGTGATTAGCTGATTGATGAATTCAGGAGATTATTCCTCTATCCTCTAAGCCTTCAACTATATAAATTTTAATTCAATCCCCGCAAAAATGTTTGCTCTTCAATTACTATAATGCGTGTCGTCATGATGGCATTATCAACCACTGTTTTCTTGCAAACTGTCATAACATCTATTACGTGACCGTTGATATTACCAGATTTGGCACTATTTACCCTTTACTGCCCCAGCCATCCGAAATCAGGCCAGTTCCTGACCGACTTTTTTCTCCGTGGGCAGAATTTGCTGAAAACTTGGCTCCAGGGGTAGTTCGACCCGCTGAACACGAATATCGCATCCGCTCAACCCGAAACCTCCTGGCGCCCGCACCACGGGCACCGGCGCCAAAATACCCCAAATCATTGGCGCCTGTGGCGCGGGCGCCAGGAAGTTTCGGGCTGAGCGAATGTGATATTCGTATTCTGGAGGTCAAACTACCCCAGGAGACAACATTTGAGCAAAATCTGCCCACGGAGAAAAAAGTCGGTCAGGAACTGGCCTGATTTCGGATGACTGGGGCAGTAAAGGGTAAATAGTGCCCCAGATTTTCTTTTGGGAACTTCACAGTTATTCGATGAAAATGATGTGTTCCACTCAGCAAATAGTACATAATTCACAACGCTACAGATCAAGGCACACCATATTGGGTAATCTTCATGAGAGAAGGGTCGTATTTCAGTTCCTAGGGAGGGATCTCGATGGATGTACTACTACGGTACTCTATAAATTCTTCCTATGAAATGTCAGTTTGGGATCGCTTTCCCCAGGGTACAACATCATTGGAGAATCCTCGTCTAACGGGCCATGTTCAGATTGCTTGGGAGGAAGCCGTGTATGATTGGCGGAGAAAAGTGCTGAACCTTTTGGATTTTGCGCGATGTAAATCCCCTTTCTTCCTCCATGGACTAATTGAGATTCTTCTGAGGAACTGGAGTTTATGGCTGTACTTGATTGCTGGAGGTATTGGAGGGGCAAAGATCTCTGACTTGTGCATCAGCTGCTCCCCACCCCTCCCCCCCCCCAAGCCAAGTATGGGCCACCTCATTTTTGATAGTCACGCAAACCTTTTGTAAGTGAAATGCATGGCGCA